GAGGCCACGTCCCACATACAGCAACTGGAAGGATGTGCAGCTATGACATACAACTATCTACTGGGGCTTTGGGGGAAAAAAATAAATAAATAAAATTATAAAAAAAAAATTGCCTTATCTTTAAAAAAAAAAAGATTAAATCTGATTTGGAAGAATTCGGTGTTATGCATTATCTATAATGATGCAGGAAAGCAGTGTAAGAATTACAGAGGTCTACAGTCACTCACCAACTGGTAACAAACTAAAAAGCTTGCTTTAAAGCACACAATATTAATTTGTCTTCACCCTTGTTTTGATAAACTTTACAAAAAAAAAAGTAATTTTTCCCTGTACAAACATCTAACCATACACCTATGGTAGTACTACTCTTCCAATGGTAGAAAATGGAGTTATATAGAAGCAGTAGGTTAGAAAAAATGTGATTCATCAGAGTCCAAGTGCAAGGAGAAAATGGAATAATGACCTACAGCTCTCACTTGCAGTTGAAGCAGGGACACAGTTCCCATTCTAAGGGTCTTGGGATGGAAGAAATAGAAAAAAGGCTTAGTTTTCCTTGCAGTAGATGCTGAAATCAAGGTAAACCTCAGAGAAGTAGACTCAAGAAATCACCTGCTCATAACTACATGGATTCGTAAGAGTCAGCAGGCTCTGACATGCCTTGCCTAAGGAGAAGGTTTGAGGGTATACTTTAAGGCCTCTTTAAATCAAAGAACCAGATCTAAGTGGCTAAAAATTAAATTGGCCCAAAGTAAGTTTGGCAACACAAACATCAGTCATTTTTTGTAAAATCAGTAATTTATGATTGCACAGGGTGGTTTTACAATCCTATAATATGTTTTAAAGTGTTTTGGTTCATTTTGTCACAATTTTGGTCATCTTTTACCTTATTTTTTCTCATTCTAATTTTTCTTAAGCTAATTACTGTTCTGGACTGCATATAATATAGTATACAGGGTTTAGACGAAACACACTAAGAATCCAACAATTTGTGGATTTCTTAAGAAAACTATGGTAAACTACAAAAATTATAACCTCACTTTTGGTGAAAAAGGATATATTTATATAAGCATAGAAAAGAATTTGAAAGGATATACACCAAAGATATATACCAACAATGGTTGTTGGGTATCGTTATAGAGGTTTTCTGTTCTTTTTGCTCATGTATATATTCTAAGTTTTTATAGTTTCTTATGGAATAAAAATCAACAAAGAAAACTTAAGAGAAATTATAAAATTATCCAATTGTTGGATATTCAGGTTGTTTTAACTTTTGCTATTATAAACAGTACAAGCAATAATAATTGGCTGGAAATGAATTTAAAATTTAAACTTGACATCTGATTTCAAGATGGCCTCCTCTTTCTTTTAAAAATCACACTAAAACAACAAGAACAAGAAACAGAAACAGAAACTCCATCTGAAATAAAATGAGGTGATGTATGCAGTCCCCAAACACAACATATAAAGACAGAAAGTGGATGGAAGAATGGTAAATGACTTAGCAGAGAGGAGGCAGGTGAAACCCAGCCCCCTGGAGAGGGAGATGCTGACCAGGAGCAAGCCAATCTGCCCTGCTGAGTGCCAGAAAGGCTCAGGAATTGAGGCACTGGCTACTTCAGAAGACGAGGCTGATGATTTGGGGGCTAAAATCAGAAAGTCTATACAACAAGTGGATTTTCAAGTCCCCTCCCTCAATCTGTAGGAGGTGGGAGGTATAGTCTTTAGAGAATTAATTAAATAAGGAAAGTTCCCAACTTGAGATTAGGTACAAAAGAGGGCAAGTGTGAGGCATGGGCTTGAAAACAAGAGGATTAAGCAAAAGTTTGCTTACTGAATCGTGAGACCTTGACCTTATTCTCAGAGGTATCCTGGAGGATCCTTCTCAGGAGAAAACAAACTACCCAAGAGAAAAGATCTACAAACAGTGACATTTGGGGGTCCCTATAAAAAAGCTGATTAATCACCAACTGCCTTATAGATGAAACTTAATAGTGGATAAGTGGCACCCACGAAAGCAGAGCTTTTAGAACCTCAATCTTAAATATATACACACAGCCAAGGATTCCTAGACATTTCCAGCATGAAAGCAAGACTGAAACAAACAGAAAATATAAACTCAGAGGAAACAGAGACACTGCAAAAAGCAGAAGAAAACCTCAGGGAAACTAAAATTAATATCCTTGAGCAATAAAAGAAGAAATATGCATCAACAAAATAACAAAAGGAGGCTATGAAAAAGTGATAATTTTGAAAATAAGAAAAGGCTTTTGAAAATTTTTTTAAAAAAGAATAAGTTTTAAAAATTCAGTTAGGGCCGGCCCCATGGCTTAGCGGTTAAGTGCGTGCGCTCCGCTGCTGGCGGTCCAGGTTCGGATCCCGGGCGCGCACCGACGCACTGCTTCTCCGGCCATGCTGAGGCCACGTCCCACATACAGCAACTAGAAGGATGTGCAGCTATGACATACAACTATCTACTGGGGCTTTGGGGAAAAAAATAAATAAGTAAAATTTAAAAAAAAATTAAAAATTGAGTGAAAGATTGGAAAAAGAACTAAAACACAAAGTGACAGATGACGTGAGAGAAAAAAGAAGAAAATTACACAATGAATCCAAGAGGTCTAATATCTGTCTAATAGGAATTCCAGGAAAAACAAAGAAAACAGTAAGAAATTATCGATGAAAATATTTCAGAAGTAAAGGGCGTGAGTCTCCAAATTGAAAGCAACAAACACAATGGATGACAAAAGCTTTAAACGTTACAAGTGGAAATGATTTCCAACAAGTGTTCATGATCAATGAAGTGTGAGGTTAGAATAAAGCTATTTTCAGATATGCAAAGTCTCAAAATATTTATTTCTAATGTACCTTTTCTCAGGAAGCCACTTAAAGGTGAGCTTCACTAAAACGAAAGAGTCAACTAAAAGAAATGACACAGGATTCAAGAAACAGGAGGCTCAAACACAGAATAGAGATGAAGAGAATTCCGTGACTCTTGGTGCCCAGGACAACCTCTGTGTGGCAGCCCTAGAGAGCAGCTCATCCAGACCGGAGCAGGATAATGGAGTGCTCTGTCAGAGGTGTTGCCACAAGGCCTTAGCCCTGTAGAAAATTGAGTTAATTTCATTTTATAGAGCTTTTGGAAGATATAGGTAAACTTAGAATCAAAGAAAACTAAGCAAATAAAAAAACAGTGACGTAATTACTAACTTTAGGAAATGAAATCATAATATACTACTTGACTCAGCAGTGAACACTATTTACCTGCTCATTATACAAAAACAGTGAAGATTAATTTTGCCAAAATATAAATATATTAGGAAAAGGAAAACAGGATATTATAAGAGAGCCAAAGTCTTCATCAATTACTTTAAAAAGTCAATATATAATCTTATAATTAATTGACCAGAAGAGTACTATCTGCCTATTATTTAGAAATAAAGAGGTAATTACCAGAGAAAAATAGCTAAGAGTTTAAAGGAGTTGCCTTTGGGTAATGGGAATTTACGGTTGAGGAAGGAGGGAGGGGAAGGAGGAAGAGGTCTAGGGAGCTGCTGTTTTTTGTCACAGGACTTTACCATTGGACTTTTAAAATCATATACATGTAGTATAAAAATTAATTTAAAAAAGAAAAAAGTTTAAAAAGCTGAAAAATGATAGAAATATTTAAAATCACATTAAAGACTATAAAACTATCTCAGTATACCAAAATTACCAATATTCAGAATAACAGCATTAATGCAATGGAGCTAGCAGTCAATCTACCAGCTGACAAAAGATCCATCACAGTGGCATGTCCAATCCTACTTTTGTATTTCATTTGTTTTTAGGCTAGAGCACCTCTATTTTCTCACGCCTGTCCAGCACACCTGGGCAGCTTCTCTGAATAGGTCTGCATCCTTTAAGAGTAGTACCTTTTCCAAACAGAAGGGGAATAGGAACACATTGAGGACTTCAGACCCACAACCCCAGTGTCACCTTTAAAGGGTTTGTGCAAGGAACCAGACACTAACATAGGACTATTTCTTTCTAAATGCTGAATAGTTTTATAAGACATGAACAAAGGTTAAAAGTATAAAAGCAAAGGGACCTGCTTACCTGTAGGGAGATGGACAAGTCTGACAGCACTATCAGTTGTATTAACATGCTGCCCTCCTGCTCCTTTGGCTCGAAATGTATCTATTCGCAAATCCTTGGGGTCCACCTTCACATCTACCTAGAACAAAATGTGGAGCATAAGTAAATTCTACACTCAACAAATACTTTAACACTAAATCTATTCCAAGATTTTTCAAATAAACTGTACTGTTGAGTGTTAAGCCATAGCCATTAGACTAAGAGGTGAAATAACTTATACCAAAGAAAGGATCATAAACTCCCTATTCCAATGGATGCTATTTTTTAACACTGACTTTGATGCTATGAGATCACTGAGTTTGCAATCTTTCAAAAGTTTCATCATCCATCATCCCACAAAGCTATATTAGATACAATATATATGTGTGTATATATAATTTTATTTATTTATTTTTCCCCCAAAGCCCCAGTAGATAGTTGTATGTCATAGCTGCACATCCTTCTAGTTGCTGTATGTGGGACGTGGCCTCAGCACAGCCAGAGAAGTGGTGCGTCGGTGCACACCCGGATCTGAACCCGGGCCGCCAGCAGCGGAGCGCGCGCACTTAACCACTAAGCCACAGGGCCGGCCCTATGTATGTATATATAAAGTCGATTCTCATTATTCCCTGATTCTGTATTTGCAAATTCACCTACTCGCTAAAATTTATTTGTTCCCCAAAATCAGTTATTACAGCACTTTCACAGTCATTTGCAGACATGTGCAAAGCAGCAAAAAATTCAAGTTGCTCTACACATGCACATTATCAGCTAAGGGCGAACAAAGTGATACTCTTGCTTTTGTGTTTCAGCTCTCCTACAGAGATGACCAGAGGATGAAGGTGGGAGGGGGCAGGGTAGCGTAGTGCAAGAAGCTCCAGCTCTGGGGCCAAATGGATGGGGTTTGAATCCCAACTCTGACACCTGTCAGTGAGGCAGCCTCAGGCAAATCACTTAACACTTCTCAACCTCATTTTCTCTTTTGTAAAATGAAGAAAATAGAATCTGCCAGGATGAGTCGTTTTAAGGATTTAAAATTATAATCTATGTGATATATATATACACACATATATATATTCCCCCCCCAGGAGAAATATTCAGTATTCACTAAAGCACTGTTTGACGTGACTTTACAGAATATAACTACTGTGAGTAACGAGAATCCAGCATGTGCGTGCATGTGCTTATTAGTGGACTGAATGGAGACATCCAAAAAGATATGTCCTCATTCTAACCACTGGAACCTTATTTGGAAAAAGCATCTTTGCAGATGTAATTGAGTTAAGATGAGATCATCCTGGATTATTTGGATAGGCTCTAAATCCAATGACAAGTGTCCTTAAATGAGACACCTAGAAGAGAAAGAAGAGACCATGTGAATTCAGAGGCAGAGATTGGAGTTGTACAGCTTTAAGCCAAGGAACACCTGGAGACACCAGAAGCTGGAAGAGGCAAGGGAGAATTCTCCCCCAGAACCTTTGGAGAAAGCACGGCCCTGCCAATACTTTGGTTTTGGACTTCTGGTCTCTAGAACTGTAAGAGAATAAATTTCTGTTGTTTTAAGCCACTAAGTTTGTGGTAATTTATTATGGCAGCCTTAGGAAATTTTCTTCTCTCTATATACACACACAGACACAAATATATATATAAATAAGTATATATATAAACAAATAGCTAAAAAATATGATTTTTTGAGGAGAGATTTAACATTTCCTTCCACATTTATCATCTATTTGTATGAACGACAGACAGTAAGTGTGACTTTTCTCTTTGAAAAGTACGCTAATAATAGGGTCAAAGTTAGAATCTAATATACAACTTAGTTGGTTGTTCTTTTGTTTCCTCTAAAATGAGTACCATACGGTGAAGAAAAAGATTATACAGTGCAAAGATTATACAGCTTTTGTTAAAATATGCCAGTGTTGGCTACCTTAAAATTTCAATAAACACTAAAGAGATGAAGAGTAATTTCCCATTTCTTGTGGTTACAGTATATTAAGTAGTTATATTGCAAATATGTGGACATATGTCATATTCTCCCAAATGTTACAGAAACTACCTAATGACTTTTGGGGAATTCTGAACGTAGAAACAGTGATTTAGGGCCGGCCCCGTGGCTTAGCGGTTAAGTGCGTGCGCTCCGCTGCCGGCGGCCCAGGTTCGGATCCCGGGTGCACACCGAGGCACCACTCCTCCAGCCATGCTGAGGCCGCGTCCCACATAGAGCAACTAGAAGGATGTGCAGCTATGACAGACAACTATGTACTGGGGCTTTGGGGGAAAAATAAATAAATAAAAAAAACTTTAAAAAAAAAAAAAAAAGAAAGGCACAGACTTTAAAAAAAAAAAAAAGAAACAGTGATTTAATAATATACAAAGAATTCTAAATGTCAGTTAAGAGAATAAGACCTTGTTCTTTTAGAAAAATGAAGCTCCACTAAATGAGTTTAATCTTCAAGAACATGAAGACAATAAGGGGATAGGTGGGAACAGCGTGGAAGGAATAAGGGTGAAAGCAAGACAACTCTATAGTTTTGATTTCTGAACCACCTAAATGCTTAATATAACAAAAATAAAATTAGATAAAAGAAGAAAGAAAAATCAAATCCTAAAATTAAATACAAACAGAAACAAATGAACCAAAATATTTACCATAATGATAACATAACCACATAGAAAAATATTATTTCAGGTGGTCTTTGAACATAATGCTCTGACATGCTTTCTTGGTGGGTTAAATTCTAAGGACAGAGGGCCAGCCCCCTGGCTTAGCAGTTAGGTGCGCGCGCTCCACTGCTGGTGGCCCGGGTTCGGATCCCGGGCGCGCACCGATGCACCGCTTCTCCGGCCATGCTGAGGCCACGTCCCACATGCAGCAACTAGAAGGATGTGCAGCTATGACATACAACTATCTACTGGGGCTTTGGGGGGAAAAAAGTAAATAAATAAAATAAAATAAAAAAAATTCTAAGGACAGAAATCTTAAACATTACTCAGTAGTTTACTGTGTAATTTTGAAACTATTTTATATATTGTATAATAAAGCAAAAAGTAAACATATTAAAGTGATTAAGACACAAGATTTTACTCTAAGTGGAAAGAGATATAAATATAAAATGCAAGAAGGTGAGGGGGAAAAACTCCCTGTAACGGTAAATTTGAATCAGTAATAATAATATGAACTGGTGATTTAAAATCACATATGCTCTGTCCACTGCAGAGTTTAGATGTAAACACACTTTGATAATAATGAGCACACCTATTACCAAGATTTTGATTTCTAGGCACATTCCCCACTAAAAGGAGTGAGGTCTGACTCCAAGTCTGAGGCAGGAGAGTACAAGGTGGGCCTGGGATAACTAATTATACCAGAAAGCAAGGACACACTCCAAGACTGATGGGGTCATTTCAAAAGGGGCTACCATGAAAAGGCTACTGTTCGCCAAATCTGGGACAATTTGAACATCAAAAACAATAGTGTTTATAGCTCACTGAACTTAAAAAACAAATCCAGTAAGTCTATAATGAGGTCAATATATGAAACTCAATATATGAGTTTATAATGAGGTAAAATAAAACAGAAAGCAAGCAAGAAGGAAGGAGGAGAGAAGATAGTAGAGAGGAAAGCACTTTATAGAAAAGAATGCCAGTTAATACATGTAGAAGGAATGGTAGAATTAGAAAATCACCATCTTGCAACCCCAAACTAAACAACTGATTCAGGCAAAGATCACCGATGGATGTTAAAACCAAGGAAGAAAAGTTTTGGGGAACAGGATATATGTACTCTAGAGATTACTTAGTGATTGCAAAGAGAAAATACTTTTACAATAGAGAGATTTCTGTGGTCACCATCTTAACTAAATGCTCAAATTAATTCTAACTGAAAGTGGAACAATCTGATATTATGTGCCTTTTGATAAGATGCAACATGAATATAACTACACATATAAAGTATTCTTGCTCAAAACATGTAACCTGAATGGAACGGAACATTTAGGTATAACTTTCAATATAATACAGGGGATAAAGGAACAAGTTAAAGAGTACCATGAAGAAACAATCAGATGGATCCAGAATGTGGGTCATTCTACAAAACAAATGGTCTAGACTCTTCAAAAAGTCAATGTCATTTAAAAAAACGTTGGGAGACTGTTTCAGACTTAAACAGGTATAACAACTAATTGCAATGTGTGAAACTTGATGGGATTCCGGTTAAAAAAATAGCTATAAAGATATTTTTGGGACAACTGGGGAAACTATAAAACGGACTAGATATTAGATAATTATGATGCTGTGATTTATAATAAGAAACATATATTTGGTCTTCATCCAGTTCCTGGTACAGAGCTCCTAAAATCCTTGGAATTTCCTAAGTGATAAGCAAGAAAAGGTGTTTTTTGTTATTCATAACAAGCTCCTTTCAACTACACCTTATGTTAATGAGGTGATTTTTGGAAAATTGCCAGGGGAACCAACCATGTGATTAGAGGGTTGGAACTTTCAGCTCCACCTCCCCACCCCAAACCTGCAGGGAGAGGAGTGGGGCTCAAGGTTGACTTCATCCCCAATGCCCAATGACTTAATCAATCGTGGCTATGTATGAAAGCCTCCATAAAAATCCTAAAAGTACAGGGTTTAGAGAGTTTCCAAGGTTGGTGAACACGTGGCGGTGCTGGAAGGGTGGTAAGCATGGAGAGGGTATGGAAGCTCTGCAACTCTTCCCACAAACTATGCATCTGTCCTATGCATCTTTTCATCTGGTTATTCCTGAGTTGTATGCTTTATAATAAACCATTAATCTAGTAGGTAAAATGTTTTCCTGAGTGCTGTGAGCCACTTTAGTAAATTATTGAAGCCGAGGAGGGGATCATGGGAACCTCTCAATTTATAGCCAGTTGGTCAGAAGCAGAGGTGACAACCTGGACTTGTGACTGGCCTCTGAAGTGGGAGTCTTCTGGGACTGAGTCCTTAGCCTGTGAGATCTGGCGCTATCTCTAGGTAAACAGCGTCAGAATTCAATTGAATTGTAGGACACCTACTTGGTGTCCACAGAGAGCTGAAGAATTTTTGATGGGGGAGAAAACTCCACATATTTGGAGTACACAAGTATTCTCTGAGTAGACAGAACACACGAGAATTTTTCCTAGACAATAATATTACAGAATTATGGTTGATCTTCATAGATAATGGTATTGAGTTTATGTAGGAGACTGTCCTATTCTTTGGAGATGTAAGTTGAAGATATAGGGGGTAAAGTCTCATAGTGTCTGCTATATCCTTTATAGTTCATTTTAAAAATGTATACACACACATCTATAGGAATCTAGCAAATGTGGCAAAATGTAAGCAACTGTTGATTCCAGATGCAGATTACAAAAGTTTTTAGTGTGGTATTCTTTCAACTTTCTGTATGTTTAAAATTTTTTTAAAAAAGGTTAGGAAAAAGAAAAATATAGAGGATATGGCTGTATTCAACTAATACAATATAGATCCCATATAGATATTACATCACTGACTTCAAAATATTATCTGTGGAATTCATTTTTTTTTCTTAAGATAAAACTTTGGCAACAACATTTTAAAAGCTTCGTGGATTCTGTTTTATGAAGAGAAGTGACTTCTATTTAAAACAAAACAGGGCCGGCCCTGTGGCTTGGTGGTTAAGTGCGCGCGCTGCGATGCTGGCAGCCCGGGGTTCGGATCCCGGGTGCGCATTGAGGCACCACTTCTCTGTCCATCCTGGGGCCGAGTCCCACATACAGCAACTAGAAGGGTGTGCAGCTATGACATACAACTATCTACTGGGGCTTTGGGGGCAAAAAATAAAATAAATAAAATCTTTAAAAAAAAAAAATAAAACAAAACAAAACATCTTGCTCAGGGATAAGAAGGGCAACTCTACCTGGGGAAGAGTTAAGGATTTCCCAATGGAGTCTGTAAAGTTCAATCTGTAACCCTGAAAATCACAGATTTTCCTGGAGGCAAGGCTTCTCAGCACAACACCCATTTATGTGAGCGAGTTTTCAATGTCTCCTGGTGAGGTTACCTCATCTGGTTGAGGGAGGACAATAACTGACATTGTTCCCGTGTGAATACGCTGCATCCTTGACGACAGGCCCACCTCAGGGATTCGCTGAACTCGGTGAATCCCACCTTCATACTTCAAATGCTTATAGACATTGTCACCGGAAATTCGGGCAGCTGCATGATGTAGCCCACCTATAAAAAAAGATAGTCAGAAATATTAAGGAATTCTACTTTGAAGGGGATCAGGATCTTAAATGCCCTTAATCTATGGCTTGAATGTGAGTATAGAGCCTGACATGAGATCACAAAGAAGGTACAAAACTATATTTTCCCAATGTAAATGTACTAATATATAAAAGGAAACACAGCCAAATATTATTTATGGTTATCTCTGGAGAATAGAACAGCATATTTTTTATTTTACTTTTTATACTTCTGTTTCTAGATTTTCTATAATGAACAAATTTTGCTTTTATAAAAATGCTATTGGGAAAAAAAAGAATACTCAGATGTTTTCTGCATTGAACTACCCTATGCAAATTTAGGCAAATATGGTGCCATACATAAAAGAACGATCAATAACATAATAATTTGATAATGATGAACAACTCTACAGATCCTCCCAAGTTTTCAAAAAATCTATTGAAATTTAGTTCTCTTTTGTCTGTGGAATGGGAAAATAAGCACAAAAAAATATTAATGCCTAGGCTAGCTTCTTCTTATCAGATATGTTTGAGAAAATTTTTTTATTTTAAAATAATATATAGACATAGAAAACTACACGAATCAAATGTACGGTTTAACGACCACAAGATCAAGAAAAAGAACTTTGTCAGTCACCCCAAAAGCCCTTCCCTCCCTTTCTAATGAGTAAATAGTATCCTGACTTTTCTTTCTTTCTTGACTATAATTTTATTACCTAAATGTGCCACCCTAAGCACTACAGTTTAGTCTTTTCCATTTAAAAAAGTTTGATATGTCTTTTAAATCTCTTAATCTATAGGTTCATCATCCATCTCTTTTGTTTCCCACACATTAACTGCTGAAGAACCTGGGCTGTTGACCTGTAAAACTTCCCACAGTCTGGTTTTGCTGATTACATACTTTTGGCACAACTCAACCTGTTCTTCTGCCCTCTGTACTGGCTGCAATTTGGCAGCTGGATCCAGAGACTGGACCAGACACCAGCTTGAGCTCCTTGGCAAGACCACAGGCGGCACATAGTGTCTGGGGTCTGTCTCTCTATGGGCCTGACAGCCTTTGACACTTAATGTACCATGGGGGTTGCAAAATGGTGATAGTCTAATTTTATCATCTCTTTCTCACTTATTAGTTAAAATACATTTATAAAGAGACATTTCTCCTTGGTCTACTATTTGATTACCCAGTGACACTGTTATGTAGGAAAGGCAGGATAAATGCTGGATTCTGTCCCTTTACCAGTTTTACCAATATATTTTTTTGCAATATAATGAATTAGGGTCCTTTTAATCCCCTCAAGATGACCAATTATTTTAAAAAATATCATTATGAACTCAAGGATTTGAACACATCTAGCATGTTTAAATCAATGGCAATTATTATTATTGAAGCCCAACTTGTCCCATCTTTGGCCAGCGGGAGCTTCTTCAAGGTAATTTCTGAGGTCTTCTGACATGCCTCTTGTTATTGTATAACAAGATTTTCTGGGATTATTTTGAACATTTCTTGCTCTGACCTGGAATCAGCCATTTCTCAAAGAAGCCCTGGTTCCTTTCAGAGAGATATAATATTTCAATATTTGGCGCTAGGGATGTTCACTACTACTGGGTTGGTCATTGTTTCTAGGCCTTTTCAGTGGACAGAGATAGGAAATACCTCATGAGTTCATATTGACATCAGGAGACAATTCCCTATTGGTTTCTTGTGTTACTGCACATCTTGCAAATAAGGCACTGCCTGCCCTTTTGTTCCAGAACATCTTTTTAAGGGTGTTTGTATAGTGAACAGCTTTGGCGAAATGTCTCCCTCCAGATCAAAGGACAAGTTTGCTTACAGCCTTGGAAGATAGAGACAGCTTCTAGAGCAATGAGCAGGCATGCTTACTGCCCATTAAAAAAGACTCGAGATCCCTAAACTCGGGGTTCCTTTCCTGTAATGAAACCCACTGTGTGGGCAGGTATCATCTGGCCTTCTTTGAGTTGCCTTGTGGGACTTGGAGTTCATGGAACCAGCACAAAAATGCTAATATTTTGGTTACTGCTACTACTGTAATCAACTTTCCTTCGTCTCTGACCCATGAAACTGTGGCATGCTAACTTTTTAGCTTCCAAGTAGGGTAGAATCTTAACCATTCACAGTTTTTGACAATTAATACTTCAAATGTAAATGCAAGATTACAACCTCTTCTTTACTCTTACATTTCTTGTCTTCCACACTGAGAATCTTAGTTCTCAGACAGAGAGGATACTAGAATTAGAATATTTCATAATTACTCGTCTGTTTTATCCCATATTACACATACAACAGTCTCAGAACAACAATACTAGTTCTACCACCAATATGATTACTAAAAACAATAAAACTTTTTTGTATATGCTTGTCCCATTCTCCCCCCATTTTTCAAATGGTTGTACTCTATCTGTACTGTCAGATCTTACAGTCCTTATATACTGTGTTCTTTCTCTTAGTCCTCAATTATACTTAGTTCTATACGTAACCACATATTTAATGCTCACCCCTACTTCTTATGTTGATACCTTATATTTTAATTGTCTGAAGTTTTGTTTCCTAGTAGATTCCTCAGAAAGAGATCATGGGAAGAGTATTTCCTGAATTCTCGCATATTGATAACAGTTTGTACCCTTATACTTATGTCAGTTCTGCAGATCATAAAATCCTTAATTCAAACTTCCTTTCCTTGAATGAACTTCATCTCTTTCTGGCACAAAGTGTCGCTAATGAAAAGCCTGATGAAAATCTCATTTTCTTTCCCTTACAGTCGTGGGCTCTTTTTTTCTCCAAGTCTAATAGATTTTTTTCCTTTATTTTTTACAGTCCAATAATTTTATTAGAATATGTCTTAGTATTGGTCATTCTGGCTGGATATCTTCATATGTGCTTAAATACGTGGCTTTAAATCTTTTTTTTTTCCTATTTCAGAAGAGCTTTGTTGAAAAATATTAGTATTTGTGGTAGGCAGCCTCAAAGATGGCCCTCATGATCCCTGCCTCCTGCTATTCACACACTTATAGTTCCCTCCCCCGGTCTGTATGATGCATAGCAGATGGTAGACTTGACAGTACAACTTCTGAAACTAGGTTGCAAAGAACCCTGGCTTCCCTACTGGGAGCTGGCTTCCTCTCTCTCTCTCACATCACTCACTCTGGGAGAAACAGGCTGCTGTGTTGTGAGCAGCCCTATGGAGAGGGCCCACCTGGTGAGAAAATGAGGTCGGCCAACAACCAAGTGAGCTCTGAAGTATACCCTTAAACCCCAGTAAAGCATTGGGAGGATTACAGCCCCAGCCAACAGCTTGACCCCAACTTCACGAAAGACCCTGTACCAGAACCACTCAGGAAAGTTGCTCCCCAATTCCTGACCTTCAGAAATCATGAGATTAAAAAAAACAGTTGTTGCTTTAAAGCTGCTAAATTTTGGTAATTTGTTACAGTGACAGATAGATACAGCATCTGCAGATTCTTTTTATTATGTTATCAATCTTCTTGGCCTATCTTCAATATTGTTTTCTTTGATTCCTTCTTATTTTTCTTCATTTCTTTTTGATTCTAAAAAAACTTCCTCTTTTTGACTACTGTTTTCTTAAGGCATTATCTGTTCTGTGTATCCACTCATATGTTCCTTCTGATTTATTCTTCATCTCTGAAGTGATTTTTCATTTATTTCTAATTCCTTCCTGAGTCTGTCACTTCATTTCTAATCCTGATTTATGGGGTTCTTTCACACCTTGTATTTTTTCTTACTGTTTCTTACTGTGAAAAGAAATAGTTTTACAGGCAGATCTAACCTACTTGGTTTCTAAAGTTAGCATGTTAGACAAAAATTGCATATAGTTTTAGATTTCCCTGGAAAATGCCTTAGGAAGGTATCTTATCAGAGACTGACGTACTGTCTCCCAATAATTATGTCCAACACAGCCAGTTTTCCTCCAGCAATGGAATAGACTACTGTTTATTTTCTTGAATACCAGATAAAGCTAACATGCATTTAGGGATCAGATGATACAAAAAAATTTAATTGTTGACAATCCATACTCAGTTTAGTAAGATGGTCATATTATGAAAAATACCCAGGAACTGAGACAGAGTGAGGCCATGACAATTTAAATATCCCATCTTATATTCATTCTGTACTTTTAAAATTATTCCCCCTATCCTCTTTACTTCATGTTGAGTGTAAATATTTGAATTTGTGTGAGCTGAAAAGAAGAAGGTTGCAAGTTTACTGTATAGATTAACAGAGCCAGTCTTAGGCTGCCTGAGTTCAAACTCAAGCTCCTCCTCTTCCTAGCTATATGTCCACAGGCAAGTCACTTAACTTGTCAGTGCTTTGGTTTCCTTATTCGTAAATGATAATAATATATAACAAGCTACAGCACTGCATACCTGAAGGGGGAGCCATTCATATTGTAGATTATGTAAGTAGTGCTTCAAGGCTTATGTAAGCATATGACATAGCCCTGAATTCAACCTACTTTCCAAGGGTTGTTGTGAGGAGTAACTGTGATAAACACTTGTAGAGCATTTAGTAGTGTCGACATCTAGCTGTCAACAAGTATCAGTGGTAACTGGAACTACCCCATCAGCTATCCTGGCCCAGTATGACATCTTGTAGAAGAGAAAGACATCAAGATCCCTGTGAACTAAATTATGATGTAGGGCTGGAGAGCTGATATAACTCTGAAGTAGAACAGTGGAGGTGTATAGCTGTATAGCTGGCCTTGCCAGCTGAAAGCAAACTGCTTCTGGTGGGCCTTATGAATAGGTATGGAAAAAAAGCATCTGTCAGATCAATAACTGCATACCAGGTACCAGGGGGTATTAATTTGCTCAAGCAATGAAACCACATCTAGCACAGCAGCTGCAGTTGGAGTCACCACCTGGTTAAGTTTACAGTTACCCACTGTCATTCTGTAAGATCCATCTATCTTCTGCACAGGCCAAATAGGTAAGCTGAATGGCAATGTGGTGGGAATCACCACCCCTGCATCTTTCAAATCCTTGATGGTGGCACTAATCTCTGTAATCTCTCCAGGAATGTGGTATTGCTTTTGGTTTACTATTTTCCTAGGTAGAGGCAGTTCTAGTAGCTTCCACTTAGCCTTTCCCACCATAGTAGTCCTCGCTCCACAGGTCAGGGAGCCAATGTGAAGATTCTGCCAGCTGCTGAGTATGTCTTTTCTAATTACACATCGGGAACTGGGGAAATAACTACATGATGCGTTCAGGGACCCACTGGGCCCACTGTGAGACAAACCTGAGCTAAAACTTCATTGATCACCTGACCTCCATTAGCCTCTACTCTGACCGGCAGACCACAGTGATGTTTTGAGTCTCCTGGAATTAATGTCAATTCAGAGCCAGTGTCCACTAGTCCCTGAAAGGTATAATTATTTTCTTTTCCCCAAGGCACAGTTACCCTGGTAAAAGGCCATAGGCCCCTTTGGGGAAGACTAAGAAAAAGATTAACAGTACAGGGGGTCAGCCCCGTGGCTTAGCGGTTGGGTGCTCGCGCCCCGCTGCTGGCGACCCGGGTTCGGATCCCGGCGCGCACCGACGCGCCGCTTCTCCGGCCATGCTGGGGCCGCGTCCCACGTGCAGCGGCTGGAAGGATGTGCAGCTGTGACATACAACTATCTACTGGGGCTTTGGGGGAAAAAAAAAATTAATTAATTAATTAAAAAAAAAAAAAAAGATTAACAGTACAAATTTCTGGCAGTGTACTGGGTTCCTCAGGGTGACACAGCCTTCCCCTCATTCAAGGGGTTTGGGTCTGCAAACTGGCTCAAGTCTGGGAAATGACTGAGGGGCCATGACTTCTGCTTTTATGATACAGGTTAGACTTTTGTTCACTTGACCTAGAACTTTTCAGCTTATACAGATCAAGTAAGAATCCAGTAGGCTTCCATTTTACTTGACATCTAGGGATACCATGATCAACTGCCCAACACCATAAGTCTGCACAAGTCAGACTATTCTGATTGCTGCTTTGACTCTGCTGTCCGTTATGGTAACCATGCCCATCTTGCCTTTGGATGTTGAGTGCCATCACTTGCCACTCTGAGATCCAGTTACTCCCATTGCCTTTAGATTTCCCAATTCAGTTACCAGAGTTCCCATTTTAAGGGCTGGCCTACAGAGAAGAGTGATCATAGAGCTCTTCAACGATGCTGGGGCTCCCCTCACAAATTTATTTCTCCCAGTTGTGGTGAAAAGTATGTCTTCTGGACACATAAAATTAACCATCACATTACTTTAAGTGACCTCTCCCTGAATTCAAGTTGTGGGCAGAGAATAAAAAAATATAATTATAAACATTAATCTGTTGGGAGGGAGGAAATAATGTAACAATTTCATAGAATCCCTTTAACTTGGAAAATATTTCAAATCATTAGACAGCAGGTATACAGAATAACACAGTGTCAGATCCACAATGCATATCAAGAGCCATCACCCTCCACTCCTTCCACAAAGGCTAGCTTGTAATTATTTAGGCTATCATTTAGTTTTAACTATTTATGTAACAGTTGAGTATTGTCTCTATTTGTACCTGTAGTCACAAAACTACAAGACTTTAAGTCACTTGATATATAAATTTTTGCATGAAAGTGTTTCTTTCCATTCTTAGCTTTTAGTGCTGTGTGAATCTCTGTGGAGTTCCCCTCTATTTCAATTAAACATAAAAAAAATATGTATATATATATAACTTAATAAACATATTTTA